TATAATTTCATGGTTGAAAGTTTTCTTCTTTGTAAATTCGTTTTTAGTTATTGTTGTACCCCTGTTGTGAGCCGCCTAGAGTGGTCTATTGACTAGATAGGCGGGATATAAATAAATTTAAAAATTTAAAATTTAAAAAAAATTAAAAATTTAAAATGTACAATTGCAACTATAAATAAATCAAAGGCTAAATTATGAAACAGTTCTTCAATAGAGGGATCATCAGTGTAATTGTTAAATCAAATGATTACCAAAATGAAGAACCAATCAGTACAAGTCACGAAAAGTATTATTCAAAATTCAACTGTATTATTGGGCCACAAAATTCAACAGTGCGGAGGCTGCTGAAGAAGCATTAAAAAAGATAAGAAGCATATGAAGCATGTGTTCATACCCCATTTAACCTCTGGAGGGAGGACGATAGGGAGAGCTTCATTTAAAGACCTTGTCTGACCAGACAGTCAGTATGTGAATTTGTTACAGTTCAAGAATCCTCACCTCAAACAATACAAGACTTTACAGGTCAACACTCATACTTTAAATAGATAACTTAGGAATGTCAATATGACTGCCATATTTCTAATATGGCAAATTTCTGAACCATTTTCACAGGAAGCTGCATGTTCAATGTACTGCAATAATCTTGTTTGAATATTGTTGTTGTTCTGTGCCATTGTGTCAGAACTAACTTATAGCAACCCTAATTGGGCTTTCAAGGTAAATGAAACATTTAAGGAGTGGTTTTACCAAATTCACACCCACAGGGAGTTTCCATAGCTGAGCAGGGATTTGAACCCAGATTTCTTGAATATTATTTCTGTTGAATATTACTAGAATCCTCTATGTATCTGATATTTGACAGAAGTACAAGGCTGTGTCAAAGAGGCTGCACACTCTATTTATTACCTTTTAAACCAACTTTGTGGAAATATTTTTTAATGTGTGTTGCTTTACAAGGTACTGTATTTTGTACCAGTGGTTCTTAACGTGGGCGATAATGCCCCCCAGGGGGCGATTTTATTTTTCAGGGGGGCGGTAGAACGAAAAGGGGCGGTGTGGGGGTGCTGGGTCAATATGACTGCCATATTTCTAATATGGCAAATTTCTGAACCATTTTCACAGGAAGCTGCATGTTCAATGTACTGCAATAATCTTGTTTGAATATTGTTGTTGTTCTGTGCCATTGTGTCAGAACTAACTTATAGCAACCCTAATTGGGCTTTCAAGGTAAATGAAACATTTAAGGAGTGGTTTTACCAAATTCACACCCACAGGGAGTTTCCATAGCTGAGCAGGGATTTGAACCCAGATTTCTTGAATATTATTTC